TTCAGAAATGCTTTTTTCAAATATTTGAAATAATAAACAAATATAATCAAAATCAAACAAACAAATGTAAAAATAAAAAAAAATATAAAGTAAAATAAAATTATAAAATCATAAATTTAAAATATTTAAAAAGAACGATAAAGTAGTATTAGGTATAGATGTGGTATAAAGCAAAAATGATCTGAAGATGGGGAATAGCCTGATTTACATGCTTATTTTGGAGGATGAGCAAGGTTTCCAGCATGAATAATGTGTGTAGCTTCTTTCTACCAAAACATCTCTTCTGTGTTAACTAGAAGAGTACACATGAAGTTGGACCAATATAATATACCTCATTATCAGAAAAGATGGAGATTTTATATATACCAGAAAGATTTGTGTTCCATGGGTCACAGTCAAATATTATGAATCTTCTAGAGAGTTGGTAAGATACAAAATTTAATATGTAATGAGCCTTGAAAACAGCATTGTTTTTGCAAACCTATATGCAATTTGTTGTCTTCATGTTAATTTCTGATATTTTCATTTATATAATCTGGCATAATTCCACAAGTTTTTTATATCATCAATTTTTCAAATTAATTAATAAAATATATGCATACCAAATATATGAAAAAATATTTATAAATAATTTTAAAGTATAATATTTTGATTGGACAACATTTATACATATTCTTGGGTATAAATAAAACTATTTTCTCTAGATAACTTTATATTTATGTTACTAGAAATCTAACCTATATCAGAACACTTATATCATAATGTGAAAACAGTATTTGGTAATAATGGCTTAATATTGACTTAGTAATGTTGATATAATAATATTAACACTATTTGGTTAATATCTTATTTCTCTATATAGGAAAAAACAAATAAGAATTAAGCAGAAGATATGTATTTGACACAGGATGAGATTCAAACTCATGTTCTTTGGTGATATTAGTAGTAAAACATTTGTTATAAGGAGTATCCAAGAAGTAAAGATGCCAATTTCATATGTAAATTACTTTATGTTTGTCCTGAGGCAGCGATATATTTAATTAATTAGATATGTGCATTGTTTATAAAATGTGTTGAAGTTGAGGCTTTATGTTTTAGCTGTTTAGATATATGAGGACAAAAGTGATGAAGCATTTGCTGATCACCAAGTGCATTTCTATAAAAACGTGTGGACACTATTAAACATTTTATAAAGAAGATAAACATCACAAAACCTCAGATTCATTAACAGATATAAATACACTAATGAAGTCAGGTTCAAGAAAAATCTTGAAGATTTTGACTAAGAAAGTCAAAGATAAATTTAGAGAACTGTTTGATGTTGAATTTGTTTGTCCATGAGGTAGCAAGATGACTCAAGTTATAAAGATCAACAGTTCGAAACCAACTAACCCAATATTCTTAAAGAAGCAAAACTGTCACTTACTAGTCAAGTGAGCATTTTCATCCACTTTCAATAGACATCAGACTGCAGGTGAAATTATTCAGTTGATCAGTTTTTACACATTAACCAGCATTCAGCAGTCATCTGTATCAACAGTTAGGTATATCAAAGTCTACAAGTTGAAAATTGTGGTGAGTAAAACTGAAGCTCCAAAGTATGCAGGTGACAAAAAAAAAACATGCAAAAACTGATTTTTGAAAAGTGTACAATAAATGTTACTAGATAATTTTGATACTGAATGATGAAACATATCCCTAATAATACAAAAGACGCTCCAGGTTGGAAATATTTCCATATCTACAAGCCAGAGCAAGTTGATTTTCAGCACAAGTTCAGGAAAAACTCAAATTCTTGAAGTTGCATTTAATTTAGCAAGCAATAGATGAGGATGGTAATGTCTCCCTTCCTTATTTTGCACAGGGTTCTATGAACAGTAAAATGTGTTTAGAAGAATGTTTGAAGAAACAACTATTACTGTGGATACATCAACTTTTCAATATTAGTAAAGTTTCATTTTTGGCCAGGCAGGGCAATATGCATTAAACAATCTAGTTCAGGCTGCCCTCATTTCATGCTGGTAATGCATTCCTGAAGAAAGCAGCATAAACAATGAAAAATGCACACATTGAAAAAAATCAACAAGTATACCCCTCTCATCCAAGAAATAAGGCATCTATGGAGGATGAATAGAGTATTTAATTTGCCCGTGGTCTTTTCTTCCACTGGTGCTATACCACATACATTAAAGTGTAGAAACATTAAACCTTAACAAAAACACATACATGACACTACAGAAAGCTGCAATATTGAACACATGTCACAATGTTAGGAAGTTTCTAGATGTTGATACATATACCAATAACACAGAAGCTTAATGTAATACTTGTTTGGGTAGCTATGCTTTGACTTTAATCTGCCAAAGCACTTGGCACCAGTATCAGCTGAGCATGACATTTGCAACATAATAATAATAATACAGAAATTATAGCTTACGTAATACAGAATTTATAACCAAAATTGACAATGCAATTTTTATATTACTATTGTATTGATCTCATACAATAGTGTGAGTGGATGTAATAATGGTCGTGGTTGAAGGAGATTTAGCTAAGTATCATGCATCTTCATAAAATACGAATCCAAAATTGTTTGCCTTATATTTCTTTTCTTTTCCTCAAGTATTTCATAAGGTTCTAAGGCTCATTTAAACTTCTCTTTACAAAATTACTTCACTCTCAGTCAATGTCCATTTCATAACACACACTTTAATCAATTAGTTGGTGTTATCAAGAAATTGTTTAAGGGTGTCAATATTTATTATCTTCTAATGTTATTGATTAATTTCCTGATGATTTGGACATTTGGATTCACTAATTTCCTTTTATTTGACATGACTGTTCTCTATTTTTATTATTACACAATAACTTTATTTTAAAATAGTGAAATGCTGTGTGAACAATAAACATTTTAGAATAATGAATAGCCCAGCACTGCTTCAAATTATAAAGATATGAATTAGAAAAAATATTCCATGCATCATGAAAAAATTTTTTGTGATGTTTTTGGGGGAAAATTTGAAACTAGCATTATTGTCAATTAGCATAAAATGAGTGCAACCTGGAAAGAATGAAAATTGATTTTGTGTATAAAGATGAAAATGCCCCAAGAGTCTCTGAATCACATGGCATTTAAAAATTTTGGGCTACTCAGAAAGCAAAATATAAGAAAAAACAACAAAGAATTTCAAAAATGATAAGGAAAAATTAGTCAACAAGTCACAAAAAATTCTGGAAAACAAATTATGAATGCTCCTCAGATGATGATTCATTTGACTGGAAAGTATGGTGTCAGATGAGCTTTCACATATGCCTCCAAAAATAATAATTATTAGTAAAATAATACATATTAAAATTTGTAATTCAATTTTGTTTAGTAAATAAAATTGTGAATAATGGTGTATCTAATTCTTGGACACTTTTATTAACAAGAATATGGATTTAAATTAATTTATTCTGTCTGATTTTTAATTTCTTTTATTTAACAGACACACAATTCATATACTAATATTTATGACAAATGTATAAAGTCTATTGTTTTTTGACATTGAGTATATCTTTTTTCATACTTGTCTAAAAATGTTCAAGTTAAAATATAATTTTCAAAATTTCTACAACAGTTATAAAATAATGTGTATGATGATTCCATTTCCTAAAAATGTCATCATTCATTTTGAATTTGTTCTGAATAGTTAATTAAGCAAAAATACTATAAAACAGTTCTGTAACTGTTTTATAACTGCATAACTATATTCAAAACACAAAAAAAATAAGCTTCCAAAAATTGGCATGTATTTCATGGCAATGCCTTTTCATATTCAATGCTTTATATTTGAGAATTCCTTATGAAAACCAACACTCTCTGTTAATTTACCATACTCACTAAATTTATTTTTGTTTTCCAAACATAAAATGCCCTTAAAACTAACTAATTTGCAAAGATTGAAGAAATTATACAAAACGTGACACAGAAATTAACAATTTCAAAAGAAATAAATCAAGAATGTTTCCACAAGTTACAGAACTATTGGAATCATTGTACAGTACAAAATAGAGATAAAATGTCACAGAGATTACTGTGATGACAATTCATTTAAACACTTTACATATTACTAACCATTAACCCATTCAAGTCTTTGATTATAACTTATGCATGTTTAAAATTCAAAGATATATAACATATAAAAGTAAAAAAATTTCATTTATTTGAATTTTAAAGAAAATGACTTGTAATTTTTACAACTTTTCTGTTTTTGAAATTTCAATAATTTACAATCTAATGAAAAGCAATTAGGAAAAAATAAATTTGAAAAGAAAACCCCAAACCTGCATTATATTTTGGATGTTTCTTTTTTATTATGATTATTAGCAATTCATTTAATAAATTAGCACAATTAGTATACTAATTTATTAATGAATTGCTAATAAACTGATTTATTATTATTATTAATAATAATCAGTTCAATATATAACATATAAAATTAATACAAATATGTTATTCTTCAATCTTTACTTTTTCAACTATCAACTAGAGAGATATTAAAAAATAACAAGAATTGATTCATGCACCTGTTTAAAACTTCATAAACAGTTCTGTGTTTATTTACATTCAATCAGAAAATGATTTAAAAGAATTTATATTGTAAATAACTATATTGCTGTAAATAAAATTCTAATAATGTAATATACAGTAGCTAAAATTTTTTCTGAGAAACAAAGATGAAAAATATTCTATATATGAAGAATTTTTTACAATATTTTCCTAATTTATAATAACCATTTTGATAATATAGTAATTGCTAACTTTAATGTTTTCTTTATGATAATACAATTTTCAATGTTTCAATTTTCTTTAATTTATACTTTTAGAATTTTTTTAAAAATGCTGATTTGTGAATTTGAATTATTTTTAGTAAAACTTAACATGTGGACTTTTTATTCATATCATTTAATTAATTCAAGATTAAAATTTATTATCATTATTGTAAGAAAAAAAATAATTTAGACAACCTGTAAATTATAAAATGATCTATATACAAAATTTTATTTGTATTATTTATAGAAAAATTAAAATTACAGTTTATAATTGTAAGATTCAATTAATTCTCTGTCCATTCTTCCTTTGCCCAATTTGGTATTTCCGTTTGAAAGTCCCAACCTTCTCCCTACAGAAAATGTTAAATTTTGCAAAAACAAAAAAATTCAAATTAAATATAACTTATTACTACCTATAAAATCCAACAATAAAGAAACATATTTGAATGGCAAAGTATGAATTACTGACTTAGGTAAAAAAGATTTATGTAAAAACATCATTATTAATTATCTTGAGTTTTATTTGTATACAGTATTTACTCATTTAAACGCCAGGATTCAAATAGACTTAGGGGAATAAAGATGCTGTTAAAAATAAACCCCAGGGTTGAAAAGCATGGGAAATATGTTGAAGTACTGCAATGTACTGTACAGGGTAATGTAGTTCAGAGTGACAGGTACAACACTGAAATTACATTATGAAAACAGTAATTATTTTAAATGTAGCAGTAACCCATAAATACAGTCAAAAAATGGTTTTGATAGTTCTGAAAATGTACAAATAATTAAAATATTTCTTTCACATTTTAGTCACTCATCTCCTGTTGAAACTCCAGCAGAAGTGTACAAACCCCCTGGGATTTAATTGAGGAAATATAGTATATACATACATATATATATATATATAGTAGACAAACATCTTCTAACTGTAACACTATGCTGAGTAATAACTGTCCATGCTTAGTCAGCACCTGAAGAAGACCTCGGTGGAGGTAGAAAATGTTAGTGAATATTTGTAACAAACATAACACTGATAAAGGTTTTTTGTGGACAGTTATATGGTAGACTTTCATTAATCTGAAACTACACTAATCCAAACTCTGCTTATCAGTAATTTAAACCAATTTTGTTAATTTTGCAACTACAGTAAACATGGATAACTTGAAGTTGCATTTACTCAGTGATTTTCTTTCCTCAATTATCTATAACAACATTTTAAATCAAACTGATTAACTTAAATTCCTTGAAACTTTTTAACTCAAACTCCAAATTTTTTCCCCCCAACAAATTCAAGTTAACAAGGAGCCGTATTCTGGTCACTATCTCTGGTCTCTCATCTCTCACAAGCCGGTCGCTGATTGGCTAATCCGAATGATTAGCCAATCGGTGACCGGCTTGTGAGAGATGAGAGACAGTGACCAGAATACGGCCCCAGGTTCCACTGTAAATATTGTTTCAGCCAAAAACAAATTATAAATTACTTTTTTAAAAACATAAAAATATAGTATAAACACTTTTGAAACTATGTATTTGTCTGCAGTCCTTTTTAACTTTATTTTCTTTATATAGGGTGTCTGTCCTAAAAAGAAATCCATGCTAACAGCACATAAATATCTGTCAAGTTCATGTTAATAATACTTGCTTTCATACATTATCAAGCATGGACTATTCATTGGTACTATACATAAATGAATTTCCTACATTCCCAGAACAAAGAAGCTAAAATTATCTCAGTTCTTATAGCAGATAGAATTACAGTTCCAATTATAAAGTTGTAGAGCAGGTCAAAATCAGTACATTCCACATTTTGTACAATTAAAAGACGGCTAAAGATAGCACATCACATACTCCTCAAAATTTGAAGGTCTATGTAAGTTTGGCTTTCCCTTAGTACTGAGCTGCTTTGTAAGCTTTGTTTGCTTCTCAAGTTTTATGTAGTTTGTGATAAAGTTGTCAATGATGAGTACATTTTGGTATTTTAACAATTACACAGGACAAAAAGAAAGCTATAATTTAGAACTTAGCATTTTATTACACCTAGAAGGAGTAAAACAAACAAAAAATAAAAAAACAATTTTTCCAAATCACAAACACATTTAAACAAAAAACATATTTTGATGCAGTATGTGATAAAAGTGATGTTTAACACTTCCATTTAGCAGTTCCTTAAAGAAATCACCTAAATTTGTTTCCATTTACATTAACATGTGTGTATTTGTTCAATTGTTGAGCTATGAACATGAGAAATAATATCTGGTGTAAGTGTCTAATCTTATGGTAAGTGTCTTTTAATAGTAACCCTACTAAAAGACACTTACCATAATAGAAATTTATTCATATTTTTCAATCTAGTAAATGTAGGCATATAATATAAAGTTTCAATTTACACTTTCATTTGGATGCAATTCTAAATATAAGAAAACTATTTTACCACTTAGACAACAAGTATAAAATCGTACTTACTAAACCTTTATTGTCCAGTACTTCTTAACTATTCGTAAAAACAAACGTTTTCGGCCTCAGTCAAGGTCTTCTTCAGGTTAAAAGGACAATCGGATTCCATTCTTAGAATAAACATTTAGTTTTAAAATGTTTGAACTCATGCGCATGTTACATATCGTCATCGTTTTCTTGTTCTTCACATACATAGTGCCAAACATGGGAAAGCATGTTGCTGTCTTTGGTGTTTATACATCTTCCTGTCCGGCCGGCTTTGTAACTGGCCGGACAGGGAGATGTACCGGACAATAAAGGTTTAGTAAGTACGATTTTATGCAAAATACCAGTATTCGGATTAGAAGATTTGTGATAGACAACAAATACTATCAAATTAAAAAAATTGTTATAGTGAATGTGAAGTGTGCATGTTCTCTAAGCACAGGTTATATTTGCTTATACAATGTTGCAACCTAGTCAACAAATACAATAATAATTATAAAAAATTTAGCACCTTTTGTCAGATTAAATCTAAGTGGTTATGATTTAACTATTAACTGCACAATCAATTCAAAGTACAGACATTTTGTTAATTTTTTTAAGTATAGTATTGACACAGACAGAGCCTTTAAAGTATGAACTGTCCACACTAAATATGGACATATGGTAATTCAGATTAGAAAGCATGTATATATTTTAAAATATAAGTTATTACTTTAACAAAAATTCAGAGCAAAATTAATTATAATTAATTCTGGTTAATATTAACTAACAATCAAATCATATTAAACATATTTAATAGAGAATAAAAATCCAATTTAATTCATGCTAAATGAACTTTTATTGAAAATGATAAGATATGAATCTAATGTTTAAAATTAATTATTAGTTTAAATCTGATTCAAATATACGCTTTAAATTTTTAAATTTACACTACTAAAAGTTTAAAAATTTCAATTGTTTAAAAAAGCATGAAGGTATTAAATTAATATAAATTAATTTAAATGAAAAGAACTCTAATAAATTTTGAAAAAAATTAGATCTATACAAAATTCAAACTATAAATTATTGATACAATAATTATAGCACTTGATTGCTTGTTGGTCTTTCTTTTGGTTATATGTTCTTTGGAATTAAGCACAAAATTACTATGGAAATCTTATCATATAGGAACACTTTTTTTGATGGAAAAAGTAGATTTTATTTTCTATTTTTTATGAAAGGAAATGCATTTTGGACCAATGCTCCTCTTCAGTTCTTATTATATATAATNATGGTCGTGGTTGAAGGAGATTTAGCTAAGTATCATGCATCTTCATAAAATACGAATCCAAAATTGTTTGCCTTATATTTCTTTTCTTTTCCTCAAGTATTTCATAAGGTTCTAAGGCTCATTTAAACTTCTCTTTACAAAATTACTTCACTCTCAGTCAATGTCCATTTCATAACACACACTTTAATCAATTAGTTGGTGTTATCAAGAAATTGTTTAAGGGTGTCAATATTTATTATCTTCTAATGTTATTGATTAATTTCCTGATGATTTGGACATTTGGATTCACTAATTTCCTTTTATTTGACATGACTGTTCTCTATTTTTATTATTACACAATAACTTTATTTTAAAATAGTGAAATGCTGTGTGAACAATAAACATTTTAGAATAATGAATAGCCCAGCACTGCTTCAAATTATAAAGATATGAATTAGAAAAAATATTCCATGCATCATGAAAAAATTTTTTGTGATGTTTTTGGGGGAAAATTTGAAACTAGCATTATTGTCAATTAGCATAAAATGAGTGCAACCTGGAAAGAATGAAAATTGATTTTGTGTATAAAGATGAAAATGCCCCAAGAGTCTCTGAATCACATGGCATTTAAAAATTTTGGGCTACTCAGAAAGCAAAATATAAGAAAAAACAACAAAGAATTTCAAAAATGATAAGGAAAAATTAGTCAACAAGTCACAAAAAATTCTGGAAAACAAATTATGAATGCTCCTCAGATGATGATTCATTTGACTGGAAAGTATGGTGTCAGATGAGCTTTCACATATGCCTCCAAAAATAATAATTATTAGTAAAATAATACATATTAAAATTTGTAATTCAATTTTGTTTAGTAAATAAAATTGTGAATAATGGTGTATCTAATTCTTGGACACTTTTATTAACAAGAATATGGATTTAAATTAATTTATTTTAACATTAAAAATTTTTTGTTAACTGAATTTTGTGTGTAATATTTTGTTGTCAGAGTTTTTTCCATGTTTACATCACCAGCAAAATCTGAATTTGTTTCCACTCCACTGCTTAAAACAATTCACTCCTTTTATATCCCCATTCTCTTAACTCAATTATTATCATGCCTCTTAACTGTTAAGAAACTTCCATTGTTTTAAATGTAAAGGATTGTATTTTATACAAACAATATACTCCAGTGAAATTTTATCAGTGTATAGTGTATATGAATAGAGTTATTGATTAGATTCTTCTGGTCAATGTTTTCACTTTTGCCACTCTTGTTAGTTAGCTAAAACTCATTTTATTTTTATTAATTAATTTACAGAATAATGAAAAATGTTTAATTAAAATGAAAGGATAGCCACTTACAAACCCTCTTATCATTGCATTCCCAAATCCCTCAAAAAGTCCTGTATTTCTGAGGATGTATGGGCTATGGGTCCAGAGCTTCATCTCTGGATCACATGGTAATCCTTTTCCCAAATCAAGAGATAGCAAAACATTTGTTTTATATAATAAACTTTCATCTAGAAAATATATTTTAATTTATCCTAAACATTATATATAATTAATTTATTTTTCCAAATATGTTTCATTATTTTCAGATTATATATTAATTTTATTATTATTTTTTATTATATTAACAGTAGGAATAAATTCAAACTCACCATATATCTGTGGGCATGTAAAAATATCAATAATTCATGTGGTTTTGGATCTCTATATTTTTGCTTACAGGATACACACAATGAATCTTTAGTCATTTTACTTGGATCAAACTGATATTTTTCAGCTAATTTTAAAAATTCTTCTGAATTTATATAATGTAACAATGGTGAAGATACTGGACAAGTCTCTAATGGTTTAGAAATTGATACATCCGTTTTTAATAATTCATTTTTTATATTATCATCATCAGCTACCAAATTATTGGATTCTACTTCTTTTTTAACAGTTCNTGAGTGTAATATTGCATTAATTTCTAAGATTAGAAATTAATATTTCTAATATATTTCTCTATATTTAATAAAAATTGAATATACAGTATAATGGAGAAATTATAATATATACATATTTGAATTACAGTAAGTATTGATTAATTATTGCATTAAATTCAAACTGTATATATAATAAACTTGAAAAAAATTTTTTTCTAAATTTCTTTCAATAAATATTTTATTCATCTAAAGATATATTATTGGTTTAAAACAGATTATAACAAAATTCAAAATGATGTATTTTGTTAAATATACTTAGATCAGATTTGAAGTTTTTATCAAGAAATTTGATGTATTACAGTATAACTGTTTTACATTTTTATACAATTGACTAGTTATATGTATGTTTTAAAATTCCTGAGCAGGATTCTAAATTTGTATCTTATCAGAAATATATGATTACATACAAATATACAGTTTATATGTAAATACAAAAATTCTTTATATTAAAAACATAAATACAAAGAATATCAATATCAATTTATATGATTTAAATAATAATTTAAATAAAATTTGTTTATTATATATAATTTAATATAAACAAATAAATACATTTGTTTATATTAAATTATATATAATAAACAAATTTTATTTAAATTATTATTTAAATCATATAAATTGATATTGATATTCTTTGTATTTATGTTTTTAATATAAAGAATTTTTGTATTTACATATAAACTGTATATTTGTATGTAATCATATATTTCTGATAAGATACAAATTTAGAATCCTGCTCAGGAATTTTAAAACATACATATAACTAGTCAATTGTATAAAAATGTAAAACAGTTATACTGTAATACATCAAATTTCTTGATAAAAACTTCAAATCTGATCTAAGTATATTTAACAAAATACATCATTTTGAATTTTGTTATAATCTGTTTTAAACCAATAATATATCTTTAGATGAATAAAATATTTATTGAAAGAAATTTAGAAAAAAATTTTTTTCAAGTTTATTATATATACAGTTTGAATTTAATGCAATAATTAATCAATACTTACTGTAATTCAAATATGTATATATTATAATTTCTCCATTATACTGTATATTCAATTTTTATTAAATATAGAGAAATATATTAGAAATATTAATTTCTAATCTTAGAAATTAATGCAATATTACACTCATTGTCAAAAAAGTTACACACTCAAACTGAATTACCTGATTACTGCAAAATTCAGCATACAGCTATATCCCAGAGACAAATTTGTAAATGATTACAGTTATAGTCTGTTTGCACTGCAGGAAACCAGAATAAACAACTGATGCACAAGGCTGAGGGCAATTGAGAGTTGTGTGTATTGAAAGCATTGCTCCTTGAGAAAATCCAACTAGGGAAAGTTGTGTATCCTTTAAGTTAAGCTCTTTTAATTTTGTGTCAATGAAATGATTTACAATTGATGCAGCATTTTTTACTCCATTGTATAATGCTTCCTCACTACGATCTTCTAAGCTGAACCACTGATAGCTGTCACCTGTCTCTCTTGCAAATGGAGCATTGGGTGCTGCAAAATATGAATTGGGTAAAGACCTGCTCATAATGACCTGGTGTATCTGGTTTCAGCTCATTCTCTTTTGCTTTGAGAATGCCACCAGAGTGTCTTAAAATTGTTACCCCAGTATTCCATAAAAAGTCTTTATAGGGTCACTGTCAATGTATAATACATATCTATTGTTTGGAGGTTTTCAAATATTAAGCATGCCTGATGTCTGTATACAGTGATGGACTTCCCATCAAAAAATTGAAAATTCCTGATGGGCTATTTGCTCAGTGGCTAATCCTTATGTTAATATATGTTATATTTCACTTGAGAAAATAAATTAAGAAATAAAATACTACTGCTGCCTGTTATAGCAATTTTAAAAAATTATTATTTTAATTCAAGCTATAAGTCACAATGGTATGTCACACAAATAGATGCCTGGCTGAAATTACATGTGATTTCAGTTTTTAAAAATGATTGGCCAAAAACTTCCTAGGTTTTTTGACTACTAAGATTTGATCTGGTCATTTTGTCATCATCATGCAAGACAGTCATTGTCATCATAATTGTCTTGATCAACTTGCAATATATACAGTAGATCCCCCTATAAAACCGTTTCCTATAGTTATGATTCCTATAAAAATTGTGGCATTATCCGTAAACAACGGTAAAAATAACTCCTATAATACGTAAAACGTCATCGGGCAGCCGAACTACTTACCCGCCGTCCGTAGCGCCACGCTACGGAGAGATTTCTATCGTCTGGACAGTATTATATAAATTATATATAAATTAGGTACTGTACATATAATTATATATTAATTATATATAAATTAGGTACTGTATATATAATTATATATTAACTTAATTTATTGTAACTTTATTATAATTAAATATATATTTTTCGCCGTCTAGCGTCACGCTACGGCGAGTTAGGCGACCTATCGTCTGTTTAGTACTGTAATTTTATACATTTCTTGTGAAAGAAACATTTCTTATTTAACGGCCATAAAAATTATTTATATTAATGATGTCTCCAAAGGTCAACGAAGTTTTCGCAGAAAAATAATATCAGAAATCGCGGCCGCAATTTGATGCGCTGTTCCGCGACGAAACCAAGCTTTAGCAACGAGCGTAGTCAAAGGGTACACACTCGGTAAGTAATCCTACAATTTTTTGTTTATAACGTAGTTTATACGGATTATTTTCAAAAAAATATACGTATTTTGGAAATGTTGAGTCGAATTAGTCTAGAATCGATTAATTTTATGAAAGAAAACCTTTCAAACAGCCGTAGTCCGTAAACTATGATTCCTACAAAATTGATTCATAAAGAACGGAACGTATCTACCGTCTTATAGGGGGATCTACTGTACTATATTTATATATAGGACCCTAAAACTTCATATATGTTTCAAGGCTGAAATCTGTTGCCAGTCTGGGAACAGATTTCAGCCTTGACACTATCTGTACAATGCAGTCAAAGACATCTGACAGAATTTGAGAAAGGCTATTTCAGGTAAAGGAAATAGAACAACTGTTTTACCAAACTACCCTCCATCTAACCCTTTCTGATCTGACTGTGCGATGTTGGAGCAAAATATACATGTGGGCACACGTACACAACAAACAGACTCTGAGCATTCCAGACAGACTTCTAGAAGAAGAAATAGTTGTGTGATTGTGAGATAAGTATGAATGACAACAGCATATTTCCTCACTATCCAGAGACAGAAAAAGTCTCACTACAGAACCTCCTCTCTCTACCAACAAAAGGCAACTAGCAGAGGCAAATTTTTATGCATGATGACCATCATTATCCTGCCATTAGCATCCTGTAAGGTTTGCTTCATTTGCAATTTTCCGTGACAAAGAAGCATATACTAATACAGACTGACAGCATATTGCTTTTTTTATCAACAAATCATTGTTCTGTTTGGGAACAGACTACCACCATGTTAGTGTGTAGAGGACTAAACACTTCAATCTCACCTTTACTGTTAAAACACATTGTCCCACTGCTGGCATGCTGGTCTAAAGAGCCATTTTGTATGATAGTCAATCACTTCTAGAAGTGGTATGAAGGATGTTGAAAACACAGTAATATATTCAGGAAATTCTGTGCCCTTATTCATTGACAACATACATAGGTAAACAATCATTTTCCAGCAAAATAAAACTTGGCCAAAAACAAAACTATTTTTCAGAAATGTCACCATCAAATTGTCACGTTACCTAGGTCTTCCCAGTTTCCAATTTGTTGCCCATCAAGCATTTGTGAGATCAGATAGAACTCTAGTTTCAGCTATTTATGGGTGTAAGGAACCTGGAGTAGCAGTTGCAACATCTATAGGAAAATCTGTCACAGGATGGAATTGTGAGAACCAAACAAGTAAAAGGAAAACAACTCAAGGATGCTAGAAAACATCAGAAGCTAGTATATGTCAACCTTCTGATCTGAGAGAGAGTCAACTTATGCTTTCTCAGAGTCAGTAGTGGCATCTTTTCTGTAACTTTTAGTCACCTCTAAGGTAATTGCTGCTTTGAATATGAAAGGGAATGACCAATTCCAGTCAGTTGTTGCCCATTCTTTCAACTGTTTGATCACTGTGCTTGTGTGCCTCTTTTGGATTAGTGCTCTTCTTTGCCCTCAGATTCCTCATCATCTTTCTACTTACTGCATCTCTTCCAAACGGCTAACAAATGTAAAGAACTATATTCCAACAATCCTCAATGGAGATTCTAGTTCAGATTTGTGAGGTATCAAAAATTTGTAATTGCTCTCTCTCCAAGAAATGCAAATACTCTGTGTAACATGTTGTACCAACTTTCATGCTATCTAATAAATGTTTAAGTGTAGTAAATTGTATTGAGCGAATCAATTTCAACTGAACCTCATCCTTTTCTACTCCATCCTCTTACCCCTAGTCTCACATATGAGACCACATTAATGTCATCCAGAAACATGCAAAATCTCAAGAAGTATGCTAACTTATTTGGTGCCTGGCTTACAGAGGTATCAGAAGGAAAGACCAAAGTAGAATCTCACAGAATACAGTGCCTGTATGCCTGATCATATCACTGCATGTATTCAAGCAACGGAAAACTTTAATACAAAGTACTAAAGGTTCATTCCTTTAAATTATGGGTCATCAATATGATCAATAAGGCAGTTTTAAGGATAGAAAATTAGTAGTGGTTCAATTTGGGTTAATTAAAAATTCATTAAAAATTATGTACATGACAGTTCAGGACAAATTTACCCACTATAATTAGATATTTTCAAATATAAACATCTAAATCTGATAGTTATGTACTAAAGTCAAATAATTGCCTGATTATATCAAGATAAATTTAGCCAATATAATCCAGCAATCATTTGGTTTTAATAGATCTTTTCTATCCTACATGGCATATATACCAGTGCTTAGTGCTATGCCAGACTAAAATTAAGGCCTAACTACAAAAAACAAATGTTTTGTTTATATGATGTTTGTGTATGTATCTATGTTTAAGAATTTCCTGACTACGTGAAATGTGTTTAGAATGACAACCTCCTGAAGGATTATATATGTGCTGTTCTGAAGACATAATGTTTCAAGACTTTTGTGTAATGTATGCAGTATGTACAGTCCTTCCAATAATGATAGAACACACAGTGATTGCCTAAAAACTCTATTATTTTCATGTAACTTTAATGAAATTTTCTAGTACATTTGATAGCAAAATATCAACAATTATTCTATAAAGTTTGGAAAAAAATTATTAATAAACAAAAGAGTTAGATATTACTGTTAAAAATAGGATGTCCAACATTAATATAACATGTACTGATTGAAATTAATTACAAAGAAAGTAATGATTGAAATCAATGAAATTTGCATAAAAATATGACCAATAAGTGAAAAGAAGGGTTTAGTATATTGCATAGTACCTTACTGTAAAAATGGGACATGGGAAAGACCTAACTGTAGAGGAAAAAACAAAATTGATGTTTCACCAGGAAGAGAGAAAAGTAACTTGAATTATAAAAATTTGGGAAGACCTCATTCAACAATCTCAAAGTATTTCAATAATAAGGAGCAACAAACAGGAAAACAAAACAGTGGGTGAAAGAATTCAACTATGCCTAGAAAATGACATGCAATTGTTCAATGTGCACTGCAAGGAAACACATCCATTCAAAAAATCAAAAATGAACTGAAGATGAGCTGCAGTAAATCAACAGTATACAATGTTTTGAGATCAACAGACAATGTTTCTTTCATGAAAATGAAGACAGGCAACCAGCTCAAGGAGAAACACAAACAACTTCAATTACAGTTTGCCAGAAACAATTTTGAAAGAGGAGAAGGATGGCAAAAAGTAATTTTCTTGGATGAGAAAAAGTGAAATCTCAATGAATTTCTGATGGATTTAAGTATTATTGGGTAGACAAAATATTAGATCAAAAGCAGCACTCAAAGAGAGTAGCTGGTGGTGGTAACAGATCTAGTATTTATTCAAGGTTGAAACAACTCCCAAACTTATCAGGAGCTTGTCTAGAGGTAGCTCAAAACTTACAAACAGAAAATTGCTGGACAGGACTGAATTTATGCAACATTATCCCACCCTTTACAAACCTTTAACATGCAGTCTATTTTATTAATGTAATCTAACATTTTCGATCAAATTAATTGACCTTTGTCAGGATCGTGTGAACAATTTTTTGGTTTATCATAAAATTTACATTAGTAAAATAGACTGCATGTTAAAGGTTAGTAAAGGGTAGTTATTTTTTTAGCAAGTACACTTTGAGAAGAGTGTATGATGGCAACATTATCCTTTTTTTCAGAACAAGAACATCAGACTTTTGGACTGGCCACCTCTCAGTGCAGATTTAAACCCAATTGAAAATCTGTGGCTTGGTTTTCCAAATGTATAACAGTGGAAAGCAATACAAGACCATCACTGAACTAAAGGCTGCTCTCATTGAGACATGGAAAAATATTCCATAAGAATGACTGCAATCTTTGATTAATTCAATGTCTAATTGTATTTTTCAGCTTGTTTCCAAAAATAGTAGTAAAATCAGCTACTAATTTTAATTTAAAGATTAATCATAGGTCATTGTGTTTTATTAATGCTGGACATTCTACTGTAGTTTTGTTAATAGTATCTAGCTCTTTTGTTTATTAATCATTTTTCTCCAAACTTATGCAATAATTATTGATATTTTGCCATCAAATGTACTAGAAAATTTCATCAAAGTTACAAAGAGTTTTAGGCAATCTATTATTGTTGGAAGGACTGTATTAATAAAAAATGTCTACAAACCCAATTTTAGATTAAAGCTAAATGATTGACAGATTACATCAAGCTATATTAATACTACTAATTACTAATTAAACATCAAGTAATTTTACCTAGAGATAGCTGTTAGGCATCACCTCCTGATTAATTATAATTAAATTAATATTTTAATAATTAATTTAGAAGGGTCAGAGAAGGAAAGAGTTGGCCTGATGCAGAACTTTAACCCACAAATTCCATGGATGCATTGCCAGCTACATTACTCAGACCTCCATCCAATTTTTGTTTCCAGAACCATTAATTTGGATATAACTTTACTGTATTCTACATGACACCTGTGCAAGAAAGAAATATTGGCACAATAAGTACCCCATTCATTCTCCATATATGCTTTATTTCATGGGTGGGTTCTAAAAACAGTCACCTCAGGTTAAAAATGCCTGTTTATGAACAATCCAGTTTATGAACAAAATTTTGAATGCCATATTTGCTGTAATTTATATACAATAACTTGGTTTCTGAACAAGCTACTCAGCAGAGCCGGCCACTGATGGTCAACTTCCTATACTTCCTATGTTAAAGAAAATCAAAAGCCTGACCAATAAACGAGAGGATTACCAATTCCGTAGTGGCACCAAGATTTGCCTTTATTAGATGTCACAACACAAACCATCAATGACATTGTTATTCAAATTAGATTTCAATGAGCATGCAGGTAAGATACTACTTCCGGTTTTTGGTACATGTCACAATTCAATTTAAATCAAATTAATTAATAAAAACTGCATTAATTGACAGCCAATAATTTGTATTTAAATGTGCTTACTCAAATTAAATAACAAAAATTTAATAATATGTTATATATTATAATATTAATGTTTAATATAATATTTATTAATACTAGGTAGCCATATAAAATTAAAAATAATAAAATAATAATTAAAACTCTGGTTTTTACACTGAAACTGAAACTAAAATTAAAAATAAAATCAAAATTAATTAAAATNGCAATTGAAACATAATATTTCAGAAAGTGTGGATGAATTACTTGTCTGTCTTCATTGATTTGGTTATATTTTATCCTTTCAGATTCAGGTAGAGTTGAGTCTCTATTTATAGCACTTTTGTAATGTGTTAGTTTCAGTTTCAGTTGGTGGTGACAAAACATTTTGATTTTAATATATATACTGTATATATAAAATGAATATATCAATAGTTAATATTATATTGCATTTGTAGGCATTTTTATGCATGAAATGCTACTAAAAAGGTAAAAAAAAAAACTTTGTTTGGGGGGGTCAGGAACAGATTAATTAATTTTATGCTGTTTCTTATGTGAAAATTTGTTTCAGTTTGAGAACAAATTGATTTCTGAACAACTTTTAGGAAAAAATTAAGTTAATAAATCAAAGTTTGACTGTATTTATTAATTTTTTAGTGTATGTATTTTGTGTATTATGGTCTGGTATTAGATAGATATTACCAAGCATTATCCATTGTTTCGATGAATACTTGAAGTCAAACTTACACGACTACTATTTTCATTAATGATATATTTTCTTACTTTGAAATTTATATATCTAAGAATTAATAAAAACATAACATATTTAAGTCTAACTGTATTACTTGTTTTGCAATATTTATGGATCTCATTAAAGTAATGATAATTTCCAAAACTCAAAATTTCATTGACTTGAAATTTCTTTTCTATCCCTTCACTACAGCATTCATAGCTGTAGTTCTGTAGTTATAAATCATTATTGTGAAGATATACCAAAACTATAAGAAAAAGTTTAAATTTAATACTAATTTTGGTTTATAGTTTCATTCAACATAAAGATTATTCCATTATTTTCAATAATAATGAATTAAGAATATAGTTACACCTATTTTCATAATTACTTTGATGACAAAAATATAATATACATGAAATAAAGAAAATAATTTAAAGTAAAATTTCACTAGAAATTGTTATTATATTTCACATTGTAAGCAATTTCACATAAAAAAATCCTTCTTAGTAAATCTACTTTACATTTGGTTTAAAATTAGATTTCATCATTTAATTCAGATAGTGATGAACACACGTAAAATTATATTGATTTTTAAATGATTCTTCAACTTGACAGAATAATATCAAAACAAATTTATTTGTAATTTACTACATAAATATTTTTTAATTATACAAAATAAATAAATATATATATATATATATAAAGTACTTACTATTAAAGGAATTAATTTCATCACTAGTATAATCTGATTCTTCTAACAGCCATTTTTCTGTTGTATGTTTCTCTGTGATAAGTTTTACCAACTAAATAGGAAAAAATTCTCTAATTAAGAATTACATATTTCAATCTATTTAAAACCATCATATATTGTAATTTGCTTATGTTAGATCCAGAACAAGAAATTTGAATAAATATAAAATACCAACAAACTAGATTAACAATAATTAATAAAAAATTGAAAATTAGAGAATTAAATATGTTTAATTATTTTATTTAATTAGTCAATCTTATTTCATATCATCCTCCCTGCTGTTTAAACACATATTGGTAACTATTATCAACACATGTTTAAATCATAGCGCACACTAAAATTTCTTTGTCAATTGCCAATTATTTTAAATTTTTTCTTTTAACATATCTTCTGGAGTGTTCATTATGATCTCTTCTTCAACAGACAACTTCATTTTCAGATATCTCTGTGTCTATTTTTAAAACCTATCCTTTAAAATAATTCTTTATTTTCTTCTCAGACGTTTGATCACACATTTCCAAAAGATGAAGTGTATCAAGTAAGAAAACTCTTTTATCAATAAAAATCATCTCAAATTGTCTTTGACTATGTTCTAAAATTCTTGCATACATTTCATTTCTATAGTATGCTTTTAAGTTAGAGATGATTCCTTGGTCACACAGCCAAATCAGTGATGTATTCACAAAAAGGATTATTATTTTAATGTATTTTTAATAACATATTGTTAACACAAGAATATTCTGTACAATTGTCTACCAACAAAACAATCTTTTGTTTCAAGTTTATATCCCATTTAACTGACCAGTTATTAAAAAGGTCAATTGTCATTCAGACATTTGCATTTGAATAGTACTCCACCAGTAAATGTTTCACAACCTAAAAACATCTAGGATTTTTACTTTTTCCAATCATTAGAAGTCTGTTTCTGTAGCTTTGCATATTAACACAGCAAAGAACTAATACATTACCTCAGTTATTTAAATCCTTAAGTATTTTCATGTTTAATCATATACTACAAGTATATCAGATATTGTACTAAAATAAAGTGCTGTTTTGTCTGCATTGTTGATTTCTTGTTGAACATTTAGCAATAATTTTTTCCATTCTGTCTTTATTTACTTCAGAATCAGGACTTTTCTCCTTACAATGAGCATATCTGTACACAATAATATCTTATTTTCTTCACCAAATTAACAACTGATCAGTTGCAATTCAAACTTATTATTATTATTATTATTAATGTTCATCGGGAAAACATTTCAAAGTGTCGTTTCAGTTCTATTTATTTATTGGAGTGCTTGTGGATACACGATATTTTTTGTTTTTCCGTCTGGTACGTACACGAATAAATCAGGTTTTTGGATGCGTGAGCTGGCCACGTACAGTTGTCCATGTGAGAAGTGCAGATTCTCCAAATTTAGCCCACAGACTTGCAGTGATTGTCAGAAGTGTGATATTCCCCATTTTTATATATTTTTTTAATCCTTTATAATTTTGATTATTTAATTGCTCCTCCTCTCTTCCTTGGCATCTTGTGAAATTTCTGATGGTTGGATAATAAACCGTTTTATTGTAATTTGTCTTTTTAAATTATTTTGAGTTGATATTAAAATTTGGAAAAGGGGGATCCCTAGATCGGTAAAATAGGTGAATTTCCTCCTACAACTTCGGTTGTTGTTCGAGNAAATTTATGATTAAAGAAGAAATCCAAATGTATAATTTTAATTTATCACATTGAATTTGAAGGAAAAGACTCCAAATAGAAAATATTTTAAAATTTTATAATCTAGAGTAGCTTAAAAATAATCACTGAAATTAAATTAAAAAAATACAACAGCTATTACATCTGAGGTCAACAAAAGAATTTGTTTGAATAGTATGTGATACAAATATGCTGATCAAGTGATCAGCATATTTGTAAAAAAGAGCTGTATAGAATCAAATTTTAAATGTTTTTATTACCCATACTCACTAATGATGGAAAAAGGGTTTACACATGTTGATGAATTCAAAAGAAAAGTTATATTGTGCGCCAAAAAAAAAATTGGAAATTTCACAGCCAGTAAAAGATTTATGATTGACAAAAAGAATGTACATTGTTAGAGAGCCATGAAAGAAAAGTTATTTCAGTGTAAAAAAGACAGAAAAGACATTCTCGGGGCACAAAAAAAATACCCTGCAATTGATGTAAATCATATATATAAAATTTTTATTTATTATTATTTTTTCCAATTTTCCAATTTTAAACTCCTACTACAGCTTAAATTTGAGGGCAGCTTATAATACAGTATTTATCTAAATGATCAACATAACACATATAAGATTTGATTTTCTTTATAATCCTTGAATTTTCTTGTTCAATTTTCTCAAAATTAGTTTTCAGATTAACTCTATTAAGGGAATCTTATAATTATTCCTCCTGTTTATTAGCATATTTTTTCTTTAAAACAAAGACAAAATTGATGTTTTGAAAGATCTATAAAGGTAAAGTCATTTCTGAGAATTTTAAACATACAACCAAAAAATAAAAAAATGTGCAAGATATAACAATACAACTTCAGTTAGAATTGATGAATAACATTATAACTGGTTGAAATCAACAATAGTAAGATCATCATCCTCATTCAGAAACATTTATTAAGCAATATTATTTTTAATAAAGCAGTGAAGTTTTAAAAATTTTATATATTCTTAGATTCATGACACATGCATGAGAGTAGAATGCAGAAGCGCCGCTAGCTGTTTGAACGCCTGTGTGCAATACCGATTATGCTACCCCGTTTAACTACAACTACCTACGCTGAGCTTGCCAGAAAAGCTCTTTAGTGTTGTCTCATAAGGGTGTGAAAAAAGAAAAGAAATACTTTAGAAAGAAAAATCATTTATTTTTATTACTAAATTATTTTTGTTTACTTGGGTGTAAAACCATATAAATATTTATCTACAGAAATTGAACTCTTCTTGCCTTTATGTTTGCAAAATCTGCTATCAATTTTCTTGTATCCAAGCTGTCTAAGGTTTCATGCTCAATTGAAACTATAGCTAAATTACTTAGTCCTTGCTGGTGCATTGTTGATCTTACATAGTTTTTTTTTTTTTATAATTTTTAACTTTGAAAAAGGACCATTCACCAAATGCAACTGAAACCAGCAATGTAAGTAATATTCTTAGTGCTATTGCTGTGTTCAGAAATGTTGAAATTAAGTCATTAGTAAAAAGATATTGTAATTGCCGCCCCTGGACGTGCCGCCTGCATGCGGTTCATGCACGCTTACGGCATGCCTGGTAGAATGAATTTGTAAATTAGAACACAGAAGGTATCTACTTTCAACTGATATTAAATGCATAGTTATTTTCTTTAGAAGTATCATAATAATTGGAGATAAACAAAAAGACAGTAGGCAAAAAGTAGAAATTTTTTACAAGCTGCAGCCAGACATGAAAAAATCAGACATTGTTTATGCAGAGGTAATAGATTTACAAGATCTTAAATAGACTAAGAACAAGTTGTAGCAGCAGTAGAAAGCAAAGTTCAGTTCAACTAAAAATGCGATTGGACAACAAAGGCAAGCATAGCCTATAACATGTCATCAATACCAAAGTTGGTCTCAGTTTCAATTCATTAGCAAAAACATATGGGACATCAGATAAAATTATAAAAAGGACAGTGCTTGACATTTGATGAGAAAGCAAAAGTCTGCACCAGAAATGAACCTAGGTCAGAGGTGGCGAACCTATGGCACACATGCCCAAAGTGGCAGATCAAAGAAATCATCCAACATGTAACATATTACATGATTTCGGTTTATCATCTTTTTCAATCAGGTTCTTTACATTTACTCTAATTACAGCATATTATTTTATTTATTTAAATATAGTTTTTTAAAACTCTTTTTGTCCTGTGGGCATTAAGAGGGCTTTTTTATTTAGCAACCCCAGAAAATGGGACAACCAGGTGGTGATCCATTCTTCACCACCTGGCTGTCCCATTTTCCCACTTTGACTGCTTGGCCATTCAGCCAAATTTAAATATAGTTACTCAAAGTCTAAAACTTCTGCACACACAAACATTTTAAAAGAAAAGTATGCTTAATACGCTTACTATATGGCATGCAAAATCAAAAATGTTTGCCATCCCTGACCTAGGTCAATAACAGAGGCAACAGCAATGACTGTCCATGCTCTTCAAAGGAACCAGAGATGCTCCTTTCACTCTTGATGTAATCATACAATGATACCCTTTGTCTCCTTGTTCCACAATTTACTTTGTAAAAAAAGGAAGAAATGCCTGATGACAAGAAAAATTGCACCAAAATGCAGAATATGAACAAAAGTTACTGACCTTGCTTACACTCAAACCAAACCAAGCATCAAAACCAATTTTCTTGAATTCAATGATAGTGTGAGCCCGAGGGGTTTTAGTTCGAAAATTTTTAGGGTTAACATATTTTTTCATTAGAGGATGGAAAAAAATATAACGGAAATAGATCGGATGTCGAATCTTACACATCGTCCGTTTGTCAATTAGTCAACGCGCACGTGCTAATTAGTCAGCATAACGAGTGAACGACCTGTTGGCTCAGTGCCAACGACAATCGTATAAAAACGATCGTCACGGGAAGTTCAGGGCGATCGTCCCCTCAGTGCGACCGTCCCTCCGAGTGATCATCTGGAAGGTCTGAATACAGTGTCTCCCGTCCAGATCCTGTCCAAGGAGAAGCCGGTAGAAGACATAAGCCTGTGACAGACAGCCAGCTTCCATAGTCCAGAAGGATTGTCGCATACCGTCCTCCGACATAAGGTATAACTGACCACCACTATAACTCTCTTTGTAAACTCTCACGCGGCATAGTGAATAGTTACAGCTCCCTTATAGATAAATTTATGTTATCCGCATCTAAGCTATAATCAGTTAGTTGTATACACCTGTAAATTACTTTAGTTATATAATAAACCTTTATTTTGTTATTTGTTAAACCTGTCTCCTGTCTATCCGAGGAAACCTGTCGACTTACTGACGCACTCCCCACTCGATTTGCCCTCCTAGCCATCCTACGACTCCGAGATCGGGCTTTACCAGCCTGTGCAGATTAAGTGGTCAGTACCAGATCAACCCCTGACCCACTGCGTATCTCACAATAGTACTAAACAGGACATATAATCACATGCATTGAAAATAGATGTCCCTTACATCCAATAGCATTACTCAAGTTGTGAAGTCTGAGTAATGCCATTGGATGTAAGGGACATTTATTTTCAATGTGTCAGTAGCAGCAGGAATCATACAACTAATCGACTGAGTTGACTCACTATACATGTAAGACTCAATCAAAGCTGACTGAGTTGATTATTAATTTTGTGCCCAAAGAAAACAACTCTCCAAACATGTTCCAACTTCAACCAATTGAACAATCTTAGACTTATCATAAAAACCTGATCTATACTAATGAATGGCGTGCAAAAATCAAGACAAGGATTGATTAATATTATGAAGAAAAAGTTGATCAAAATTTCAAACATCTATTGGTCAAACTTCATGTCAAAAGTTATTCTGTAAGGAGTTGATTCCAACCAGTTTTATTTTGTTTGGGGATTATTTTTAGTTCATTTTCTTATTTATTTTGAGGCATTTCATTCCATTAAGTATAGACTACTGCACCTCGCCTGGACAAAATTCAAAAACTAAAAATGAAACCCACCTTACTACAATGACTATTGAGGGTGAATTAAATGCATTATCAACCTGGAAATGACATCTTGGAGGTGGACTTCCAATGGAAAGTCAAAAGAATGATCTCTCACCCCAAATTGTCACCAAAAATTTAAAATAGTGCATGATGCATTATGACATGACATGGAAAGAAGATTGCTAGTGTTAAATAAATGTTAACTGTATATATGTAAATAGGGTTAAATGGGCATATCAACATAACATCACCATCCCCAGCAATATAAGACAGATAAGCTGTGAATAAAACAAGGTGAAGCTAAGGATTGAGAGAGGTTAAGGAAAAAAACTTTTGATTTGGATGGCAGATTAGAAGTTTCTTCTTGGAGATAGTCAGGCAAGTTAACTAAGATTATTTTGTGAATTTCCTGAATATAGTTCAGTTTCATATTTCTTGTTAGTTCTTGTGGAGATAGTTTGAGATAGTTCTAAGTTAATTTTAAGTACCTCAAGTGTCAGGAAGTGTCAAGTGTATATATCTTATTTTCGTTTTTGATTAAATAAAGTATGCTTATATATTTAAATGTTTTATAACTTAATTTGTACATAGTCAATCAAAAACTAATAAATAGAATTTTTCTGTTTTTTTATGTACAGTAAAGTAATTATTTTGAGCTTTTTATACATTAACAGATTCATTCATAATTTGTTTTTTTCCCATCTAAAAGTCCAGGTCTGGCACCAAGTGACCCTCGTTTTTGGTTTATGTAATGCATGTTAGGTAATTTCCGGGCTTCTGAAAAGTTAATGTTACAATTCTAGGATTTAACATGCTGCTAAACTAGTGTTTCTCAATAGGGGTGATATTGCCCCCATGTGGGCGTTTTTCCATGTTGAGGGGGCAATTAGTAACAATTTATATTTTGGGGGTGAAAAACAATTTTCTGGGCAATATAGTAAAACATTATATTAAGAATAATTAGATATTTTATTCGTTATATTGTACAATAATTAAACAAATAACATTATACTAATTACTAGTCTATTCAATGCAATACGAATTTGGGCGTTAGCCTTGGACCTCGGCATCGGAATTTTGAAGCTTGCAGTGGGGATTTACAGCAAATAATGCTGTCATCGCATTTCATTCATGTGCATCTGCATCAAGGCTTGTGTATTGGTAGCAGCAGGAATCATACAACTAATCGACTGAGTTGANTAGTGTTTCTCAATAGGGGTGATATTGCCCCCATGTGGTCATTTTTCTATGTTAGGGGGCAATTAGTAACAATTTATATTTTGGGGGTGAAAAACAATTTTCTGGGCAATATAGTAAAACATTATATTAAGAATAATTAGATATTTTATTCGTTATATTGTACAATAATTAAACAAATAACATTATACTAATTACTAGTCTATTCAATGCAATACGAATTTGGGCGTTAGCCTTGGACCTCGGCATCGGAATTTTGAAGCTTGCAGTGGGGATTTACAGCAAATAATGCTGTCATCGCATTTCATTCATGTGCATCTGCATCAAGGCTTGTGTATTGGTAGCAGCAGGAATCATACAACTGATTGACTGAGTTGAGTTTTGTGCTTAGTGCTTATTTTATTTTTGATGTTTTAATAATGTAAGTAAATAAGTAAATAGTTAATAAATCAAATTAAATATATGTATAGTTTGTGCGATGAAGGAATAAACATAAACATAATATATAAACTGTTAGTTTGATTAAAATTGTATATGTCATATGAGATTTTTAAGGAAAGTATTTAAATTTAAAGTATAATAATTAAAATTATTAATGATGATTAAAGACAAAGCACAGACTATATAAGAAAATAAAAGGAATAAAGTAATAAAAATATAAAAATAATTTATTAATTTTACTTATTATTATTTTTTTTAATTTTTTAGATAATTAAACACTACATTAAACCATGTCTGAAAAACGAAAATGAATCTTTTTGGGTTGAAAATAGGCAGATATAAAATGCTTTGAAATGTGATCAAGTTATTAATTATGGCATTTCCAACTTATTATCTTGTAGAAAAAGAATTTAGTGCTATTGTACAGTTATTGTCCAAACAAAGAAATCGGTTACAATTAACACAAAAAAGTGATTTGCGATTACTTTTGAAAATTTCAAACCCAAGATAAACAAATTGGCGCAACTTCATCAGCCTCAAGGTTTCCACTAATGATAATTTTTCTGTATACTTAAATATTTTTTATTCAATAAAAAGCGTTATATTTTATTATATTTGTTAAATTTGTTAATACTTATGTTTTTTAATTTTGTTAATTTTAAAATCTAATACATATTCCGAGTAAATAAATGTTTAATTTTTTACAAAATATATAATTATCAAATAAACTAATAAACCCAACAAAATTTTTTTCGAAGTGAAGAGGGCGATACTATGTAACAGTTTTATTGAAGGGGCAATGATTCATTAGAGGTTGAGAAACACTGTGCTAAACAAAAGGTTCTCATTACCAATTACTTTTACATATTTGTTGCTATATTATGCTATATTATATTATGCTATTCATATGCATAGTCTTGTCATTTTGGATTAAGTTTTAAAAAAATTAAATATTTCATAATAAATGTGTGCTTTTTCCAAATATCTTAATTTTATTCAAATTAAACATTTTTTATTTTATAATGCTACAGAACTAAATTAATTATTATTATGATATTTGATGGAAACACCTCTGAAATATACATTTATATTTTTTGAAACAAAACTGGTTTTCAACCAACTTATTAATTTGGTAACAACATAAAAAGTACATTCAGTGGAAACCCAGAAAAGTTGTATTAAAAAATCCCATCAATGACTGATATCATTGTGTATTGGATATGAGTACAGTGACCTTGAGCTACATGCACTACTTGGCATGTCTTCAGTGTGCACAGAAACCTGGGAAGCAATTTGATAAGATGGAGGCCTCTTTGTAATAGCGCATGAAGCAGAAGCAGCAAAGTATTTTGAGATTCTTGTTTAGCAAAGACATGAAACTAATACAGATTCATCATAAAATGAGAAATCAGTACAGTAACAGGTGTATGAATGATCTGAAAAGTTCAAGAAAAGTATTGCAAATGTGAAGGATTCTCTCATCCAAGGCCTGCATTAACTGCAAAATGGAAGACAATATTGCAACCACAGAGATTGAAATGTGGGAAAATTGCTGCCCACAGTCCAATACCTCTTGGACTGTGGGGCACTATTGGATATTACTATTCATATCATATCATTCACGACTAACTGAAGTTCACAAAATGTGTGCAAGATGAATATCCAGGCAATTGACAGTTGAAATTAAAGAGAAACATGTCAATGCTTACCAGGAGCTTCTGCACCAGCATGAAACTAATGGTGAAACATTTCTGCAATGTATCATCACTGGGGATAAAAACTGGATTCAATTCTACAAATCAGAATGAAAGCAACAAAGCATGGAGCGGTCCCACATCTCATCTTCAAAACTGAATAAGTTCTAGGTACAGCAGGCTAATTTACAGGCAGGTTAAAAAATTTCATTAAGGTTTTTTAAGGATAACACCATTATGAACCATTATAAATGAACAAACATTAAGTACTATTTCACACATATCAAATAAAATTGTCCAATTATTAAATCTTTGGGATCTTATAAAGAATTTCACACATTTGTCTGGCAGCTGGACATTAGATATTTGGCTGAAGGTAGTCAGACAAAATCTCAGCATTGTCTGGTGTCATACATGCTGAGGTATCCAGAACTCATTGCAATCTTTCATATGATCCACCCAGTAGTCATATGGTAGCAGCAAGAATATACAGTTCCACTCCAAAGCAGGCATAACAAGCACAACTGAACTCAATATTTAACCAGCTGGTAGTCAGAGATGTGTGAAAGTAAAAGATCAACCAGATACCAGGCATTGGATATCCAGCACCAGATAGTTGTGAAACTAGCCTAAGAACTTTTATAAAATATTTAAAAATGACAACTGATATTCTAAAAAAATTTACCTCTTCCTTGGATTTTCCAAATTCACCTGCTTTTCCTTTACATGGTCCAAATAATTCAGTATTATAAAGTGGATCATTTACAATTGGATAACCTTAAAATACAAAATGATATTAATTAGTTTTTTGGAGTATTTTAAATAACAGAAGAAATAAAAAAATTTTTATGCTTATTCTAAATCTTCATAAATATAATAATAATTTAGAAAAATAAAACCTGATTCATTTTACATCATCATATTAAAAGAAAAAAAGTTTGTAGAAGTTTAAATTATTTCTGGTTTTCATAAAGTTAATATTAACTTTTTGTATAAATTTAAAATTTACAGAAATTTTAGCTTTTATTAAATTTCTTCAGTTAATTAATCAGAATATTTAAAAGTTAAAAGAATAAATATATGAAATTATGTGATTCTGCATTTATGCATAGTTTTGAATACAAAACAAAAATAATTTTTATAATTATACTAAATAACTGTAAAGAATTTCATTAAAATCGAAGAATAATGCAATAAAAATACTGGATGAAGTTCTTTATTTCATTTTTAATGAAAGATTATTTAAATAACTATGGTGAAAACATAATGATATTCATGTATATTAAATAAAGAAATTGTTTTAAATAACTTTTTTTATTTTAATTAATAAGCAATTAAAAGATTATATTAAGATTTTAAAAATAATTAAAAGAGTATAGTTAAATCCAGATAAAGATTCAGTGCTCAAAAAACCACAAATGCCAATCTATACACATTCACCTAGCAGATAATTGTTTTTCAGATGCAATAAATGGCTTTTGTGATTGTTTATTCAATCAACATTCTTTAGAGAAGAACTTAAAATGTAATTAAATATGTATGTTGTGGCATTACCAATGGTGACTTTTAGAGTATAAGAGTTCACAAGCACTTTCAATAGCATAAAGCTACCATCATCAGGTGAATATCAAGTACAACTATTTTCAAATTCTGAGCTTTTGAACAACTTATAAAATTATATGAAGCATGTGGATGGAATACCAACATGAATTTGAAGTAGAATAAGAATTCAAAAATGTTTTTGAACAGCAATATGAGTGATATAATATCCCCAAATATGAATAGAGAGCAATAATGATGTTCTAGAGATGTGGCTTAGATTGCTTGAATAATGTTGTCCATATTTGTGGAATTTCAAGAGTTTTACGTTGCACAGTGTTAAAGCCGATATGTAGAGGTTCTCCCAAATAAATAATTCTTTCTGATTGTTGCATCATTTGAGTAACTTTGTTTGAGCCCAGAGCGGCTAATAATCTTGATCAATCACTTTTTTTTGCCAATTCCATTGACGATCTACTGTTTCTGATGTCTTCCTGATGTTCTAGGATGCGAGAAATTAATATTCTGGCTGTGGCCCCTATGTAGCTAGTCTCTTCTCCTGACAGATCATGTTTTAGTGAAATTTGATAAACCCCAATTTTTTATTCAATTTAAAAGTATCTCTGTCATTGCATAATATTCTTCTTAGCATTGGTTGTGTGGTTAACAATAAAATAAAATCATTTGTTCTAAAACAATGTACTATTTTTAGAGAGACAGGCCTAAAAACAGCATTGGAGGATATGCTACTTTTAGATCCTCTTTGTTACTAAGAAAAGACTGTGGAAATAGCTTATTTTTGACACGATTTTAGAGAAAATGGAATTTAGATTGGGAATATCCAGCTTTTTGCATAGCTCCGCTAATGAGTTGCAATTCTTCTTCCACTAACTGGTTGGAAGGGAGGAGGTAAGCCCTCCGCATGAGGGAAGTTATGACAGAATTCACATAATTTAAAGGTTGAAAGGCTGTTGCATGAATAATTTGCAGTGCGTTGTTGTTTCTATGATGTACAGAAAATAGGAGCTCAGGATATGTATGGATTTCTTGATCTAAGAAAGAGATTCTGGCATTTTGTTCTTCCTCTACCGTAAAGTTGATAGAAGAATAAACAGAGGCCAATTGTTCCAAACCTTCAGTAGAGCCTTCCCACAAGAGTAGTATGACATCAACATAATGGAAATACATAATTGGGTATTGGATGGTCAAGGGAGCATTGAAAATTTGATGTTCTATGTTCCGCATAATGAGCTCTGCCAACATAGGTGATAATGGAGAATCCATTGGTACTCCCTGTGTCTTTTTATATATCAAGCCATTAAATAAATGTTATAGTTTTCAGTTATGAGAAAGAGAGTTTCACATAAATGTATTATGTATGATGTTGGGTAGCCTAAGTTGAGCAGCAGAGTATTTGCAAACATGACGGCCTCAAAATATGATACAGATGAATATAAGGAAATAAGTCCTTTAAATAGTGGCAGAGAAGACATGTATGTACTCTTTGTCATTAGAAGCCATCTTAATAAGACAGTTTCATAACTTCTGTTGTTTTTATTCATATTGAGCAGAGCTCTGTATACTTCAGAAATTATTTTGTATGTGATCGAAGTTTAAAGCAACCATATGACCACTAAACATGATTTTTTGCAAATATGTACAACTTGGCAAGGTCAATGTTATGATGAAGCTAGAATTTTGAAATTCAATCTAAGGGACGAGATATTCAAGGTCAATTTGCCACGTAAAATCTATAGGCCAAATGCCAGTTGTAAGCTACGTGTCAATTGAGTTCAACTGTTGTGATGTCTATGACAATTTTTATTTTAAATTTAGATCAGTTTTAAACCTTTTCTTCCCACACTTTTAGTTTTCTATGATGCAGAACTGATTTGTATTCCTAGAAAATACCTAGTTATCATTATTATATCTAAAACAATCACAAAATCTTTCAGTTATTAATTTTGACTATATAAATTTAACTTAACTAAATATTGGGGGGTTAATTTGGTGTTGATTGGCTGTGACAACCCTTTGCTAACCTGTTTTGCATATTTCTTATTTTTGTATTTTTCCAGGTAGGTAATTTTAATTAATTATTTTATTTATTTAATTTTTATTTGTTAGTTTTATTATTTTAAATTTTGTTCATTTTTGTTATCACATCAGGTCATCACAGTTTGTCAGTTTGCTTACCAGTTAATTGTGTATGTTTTGGAATAATATGTACTAGGTATCATGTATGGGATTTTGTATTATGAACATTTCTTTCTTGATCTTGTTGAGCCCCTCTATTGCCTGCTCAACTTCTGGCATGATTTTTTCATGTGCGAGTTTAGGTTGCGGGGTGCATTTAGGCCCATATTTACATGCTTCGTTAATGCATGTTGGAAGTGTGATGCTGTCCCAACAGATAACAGTAGGGTTGACCTGCATTTTACAATGACTTTCTTGGTGCTTTTTAATCCAGTCCATTTTGTTCTTATATCTCTTCCTTAATCTATCTATCTGTAACCTGCATGGCTAAGCTTAAAACTTGGGAGTAGCTTCCTTTAAGACGTGTGGACCAAGCTCATACAGTTCATTTTCTAGTTCAAATTAGCACTTTAAGCAAATAAAATCTTCTGCGCTGTGTGGAGTGGATGGCTTTTCTTAAGCATACTGCTCGTAGTTTATGGATTAGAGAGGCACATCCTTGCGGTAAACATATTCTCCAAATTGACATTGGAAAGACATTGCATTTTCTGCAATCTGTCAGAAACCCAAGCTTTGCATCGTTTCTGCAAATCTCCAAGACTAGGGTTCAGTACCTTTTGACCGGCATTGCCCAATTATAACTCATTGTGGACTGCATATCTTATCAACAAAACACACTCAAAACACCTTGTAAATGTGCAGCCATATTTATTAAATTTGAACATTTTCAGTCATATTTAATGACCTTTATCAAGAATAAACGGAAAAAATCGAACTCTTAGAAAATTTAATCAAGCAAGAAAATAGTAAATTTTGTATTATGTTTTTGTAATTATATTTTCTTGTACTGGATATTTTATTTATGTACTGAAGCTGTATTATGCACAGGATGTTGCGTATATGTTATGATTATTGTATATTATGTTTTGGTTTTGCATGTACAGATTTGGACTTTGTACAGAGATTACCTTTTTACTGTATTATATTTATTGTATTTGTGAGACAATGTTTGTTCAGTATTTCCTTTTTGTGTTCCCTGTACAAAGAGTATTTGTATCTTGCACTAAAATAAATAAAATAAACTTACCTAAATATTGAAGATGAACCCTAATTTGGTGAGTTCTACCAGTCAATGGTTTACCTAAAAGAATCAACATTTATTTTAAAATATTTTCAAATCAAAATTAAAAATCATATTTGGTTGATTCTAATAGTAATAAAATAAATATTACTTTATCTATTACATTAAATTCAAACTTATTATTATTAATGATAACATCAGATCAAATATATCAATAAATATAAGTAGAAGTCTTAAAAACATAATATAAAACTCTTAATTTTTAAGAGTTTTGAATTATTTGCAGTTCATTACACTTATAGTTCATAAATTTGAGTTTGATATTCACATAGGAAAAATAAAAGTTACGTAAACATGGATAAAAATTTTGTTTTGTTGATTAAATAATATATTTCATATATATACATGAAATATTTAATTCCAAATAATCTGCTATATTACCTGGCTATAATGAGACTAACTTAGTCTTTTTTGTAAAAGTTAATTGAAGACAACAGACTGTCCAAAAAATAAAAAAATATAAAAACTTTTTGGTAGACACCATTTATTCACTTCACGTGTTCCAGAACAAAAACTTTTTGACGACTTGACCTTCTTTTTTAGGCTATTTGGCCGTCAAGTTTACAAACATTCCTTTAAAAAACACAGAAAAATACCTAATTAAAATTATAAATTTCAACTTAGAGTTCATGGGTCTTACAGCCATCTTCATGTTTTTCATCCTTTCCATTGGGGATTTTCGGCCTTTATATCTACTGAAGAAATGCACTGGTATATGTAGATTTCTATGGCTTCCCCTGGTGACGAATCTTTGCAAACTTTTAATCTTAAAATTTCGTCAGATGATATTAATTTTGTAAAAGTTAATTGAAGACACAGACTGTCCAAAAAATAAATTTTTATTTTTTGGACAGTCTGTGTCTTCAATTAACTTTTACAAAATTAATATCATCCGACGAAATTTCAAGAATAACTTAGTCTTATTATAGCCTAATAATATGGCAGATTGTTTGGTATATATTAGTATATTGTTTTAGTTATTTTTTTAGTATATTAGAAGTGTTTTTATGGTATTTATTGAATAAAGTTTTATTTTCATTCAGTAAGCCAAATATTAACAATTTTAAATTTTAATAAAATAATAATTTTTAAAAAATTTGGGAGTTTTGCTTTTTTGAATTTTTATAATTCTGTAAATTCATGATACAAAAGAACATTGATATGAAGTTATTTGAAGTATATAAACCCTATATATATTATATTATATTATATATGGATTATATACTTATCTAATATTCAGCATGAAGATCAAACTATGTATTACTATTAATTAATAAAATTTTAATAAAATATAATTAAAAATAACTGATTTAATAGTTGATTTATTAAATTCAATTTTTAAATTAAAATCATTCATATGTAGTTTACATACTGGTCAAGAAAAAATATGTTAATGCTAAACTGAATAAGACGTCAAAGTTTTATTGGATTAAATGTTCTTTGAAACTCCTCTGTCAGACCATCATTAGACACTAAACATTTAAATTGAAAAATTTAAATAAGAATGTCTGTAAATTTCCATTAAATGTTTAAGAGGAATTTGAATATGCAAATAGTTTTGAAAATAAATATTAAAACAATAATAATAACAATAAAACAAAACTTACTCTAACACCTTGTAAATGTGCAGCCAAATTTATTAATTTCCTAACGTTTTCGGTCATGCTAAATGACCTTTATCAAGAATAAACGGAAAAAATCGAACTCTTAGAAAATTTAATCAAGCAAGAAAATAGTAAATTTTGTATTATGTTTTTGTAATTATATNCTGTGCTAAACAAAAGGTTCTCATTACCAATTACTTTTACATATTTGTTGCTATATTATGTTATATTATATTATGCTATTCATATGCATAGTCTTGTCATTTTGGATTAAGTTTTAAAAAAATTAAATATTTCATAATAAATGTGTGCTTTTTCCAAATATCTTAATTTTATTCAAATTAAACATTTTTTATTTTATAATGCTACAGAACTAAATTAATTATTATTATGATATTTGATGGAAACACCTCTGAAATATACATTTATATTTTTTGAAACAAAACTGGTTTTCAACCAACTTATTAATTTGGTAACAACATAAAAAGTACATTCAGTGGAAACCCAGAAAAGTTGTATTAAAAAATCCCATCAATGACTGATATCATTGTGTATTGGATATGAGTACAGTGACCTTGAGCTACATGCACTACTTGGCATGTCTTCAGTGTGCACAGAAACCTGGGAAGCAATTTGATAAGATGGAGGCCTCTTTGTAATAGCGCATGAAGCAGAAGCAGCAAAGTATTTTGAGATTCTTGTTTAGCAAAGACATGAAACTAATACAGATTCATCATAAAATGAGAAATCAGTACAGTAACAGGTGTATGAATGATCTGAGAAGTTCAAGAAAAGTATTGCAAATGTGAAGGATTCTCTCATCCAAGGCCTGCATTAACTGCAAAATGGAAGACAATATTGCAACCACAGAGATTGAAATGTGGGAAAATTGCTGCCCACAGTCCAATACCTCTTGGACTGTGGGGCACTATTGGATATTACTATTCATATCATATCATTCATGACTAACTGAAGTTCACAAAATGTGTGCAAGATGAATATCCAGGCAATTGACAGTTGAAATTAAAGAGAAACATGTCAATGCTTACCAGGAGCTTCTGCACCAGCATGAAACTAATGGTGAAACATTTCTGCAATGTATCATCACTGGGGATAAAAACTGGATTCAATTCTACAAATCAGAATGAAAGCAACAAAGCATGGAGCGGTCCCACATCTCATCTTCAAAACTGAATAAGTTCTAGGTACAGCAGGCTAATTTACAGGCAGGTTAAAAAATTTCATTAAGGTTTTTTAAGGATAACACCATTATGAACCATTATAAATGAACAAACATTAAGTACTATTTCACACATATCAAATAAAATTGTCCAATTATTAAATCTTTGGGATCTTATAAAGAATTTCACACATTTGTCTGGCAGCTGGACATTAGATATTTGGCTGAAGGTAGTCAGACAAAATCTCAGCATTGTCTGGTGTCATACATGCTGAGGTATCCAGAACTCATTGCAATCTTTCATATGATCCACCCAGTAGTCATATGGTAGCAGCAAGAATATACAGTTCCACTCCAAAGCAGGCATAACAAGCACAACTGAACTCAATATTTAACCAGCTGGTAGTCAGAGATGTGTGAAAGTAAAAGATCAACCAGATACCAGGCATTGGATATCCAGCACCAGATAGTTGTGAAACTAGCCTAAGAACTTTTATAAAATATTTAAAAATGACAACTGATATTCTAAAAAAATTTACCTCTTCCTTGGATTTTCCAAATTCACCTGCTTTTCCTTTACATGGTCCAAATAATTCAGTATTATAAAGTGGATCATTTACAATTGGATAACCTTAAAATACAAAATGATATTAATTAGTTTTTTGGAGTATTTTAAATAACAGAAGAAATAAAAAAATTTTTATGCTTATTCTAAATCTTCATAAATATAATAATAATTTAGAAAAATAAAACCTGATTCATTTTACATCATCATATTAAAAGAAAAAAAGTTTGTAGAAGTTTAAATTATTTCTGGTTTTCATAAAGTTAATATTAACTTTTTGTATAAATTTAAAATTTACAGAAATTTTAGCTTTTATTAAATTTCTTCAGTTAATTAATCAGAATATTTAAAAGTTAAAAGAATAAATATATGAAATTATGTGATTCTGCATTTATGCATAGTTTTGAATACAAAACAAAAATAATTTTTATAATTATACTAAATAACTGTAAAGAATTTCATTAAAATCGAAGAATAATGCAATAAAAATACTGGATGAAGTTCTTTATTTCATTTTTAATGAAAGATTATTTAAATAACTATGGTGAAAACATAATGATATTCATGTATATTAAATAAAGAAATTGTTTTAAATAACTTTTTTTATTTTAATTAATAAGCAATTAAAAGATTATATTAAGATTTTAAAAATAATTAAAAGAGTATAGTTAAATCCAGATAAAGATTCAGTGCTCAAAAAACCACAAATGCCAATCTATACACATTCACCTAGCAGATAATTGTTTTTCAGATGCAATAAATGGCTTTTGTGATTGTTTATTCAATCAACATTCTTTAGAGAAGAACTTAAAATGTAATTAAATATGTATGTTGTGGCATTACCAATGGTGACTTTTAGAGTATAAGAGTTCACAAGCACTTTCAATAGCATAAAGCTACCATCATCAGGTGAATATCAAGTACAACTATTTTCAAATTCTGAGCTTTTGAACAACTTATAAAATTATATGAAGCATGTGGATGGAATACCAACATGAATTTGAAGTAGAATAAGAATTCAAAAATGTTTTTGAACAGCAATATGAGTGATATAATATCCCCAAATATGAATAGAGAGCAATAATGATGTTCTAGAGATGTGGCTTAGATTGCTTGAATAATGTTGTCCATATTTGTGGAATTTCAAGAGTTTTACGTTGCACAGTGTTAAAGCCGATATGTAGAGGTTCTCCCAAATAAATAATTCTTTCTGATTGTTGCATCATTTGAGTAACTTTGTTTGAGCCCAGAGCGGCTAATAATCTTGATCAATCACTTTTTTTTGCCAATTCCATTGACGATCTACTGTTTCTGATGTCTTCCTGATGTTCTAGGATGCGAGAAATTAATATTCTGGCTGTGGCCCCTATGTAGCTAGTCTCTTCTCCTGACAGATCATGTTTTAGTGAAATTTGATAAACCCCAATTTTTTATTCAATTTAAAAGTATCTCTGTCATTGCATAATATTCTTCTTAGCATTGGTTGTGTGGTTAACAATAAAATAAAATCATTTGTTCTAAAACAATGTACTATTTTTAGAGAGACAGGCCTAAAAACAGCATTGGAGGATATGCTACTTTTAGATCCTCTTTGTTACTAAGAAAAGACTGTGGAAATAGCTTATTTTTGACACGATTTTAGAGAAAATGGAATTTAGATTGGGAATATCCAGCTTTTTGCATAGCTCCGCTAATGAGTTGCAATTCTTCTTCCACTAACTGGTTGGAAGGGAGGAGGTAAGCCCTCCGCATGAGGGAAGTTATGACAGAATTCACATAATTTAAAGGTTGAAAGGCTGTTGCATGAATAATTTGCAGTGCGTTGTTGTTTCTATGATGTACAGAAAATAGGAGCTCAGGATATGTATGGATTTCTTGATCTAAGAAAGAGATTCTGGCATTTTGTTCTTCCTCTACCGTAAAGTTGATAGAAGAATAAACAGAGGCCAATTGTTCCAAACCTTCAGTAGAGCCTTCCCACAAGAGTAGTATGACATCAACATAATGGAAATACATAATTGGGTATTGGATGGTCAAGGGAGCATTGAAAATTTGATGTTCTATGTTCCGCATAATGAGCTCTGCCAACATAGGTGATAATGGAGAATCCATTGGTACTCCCTGTGTCTTTTTATATATCAAGCCATTAAATAAATGTTATAGTTTTCAGTTATGAGAAAGAGAGTTTCACATAAATGTATTATGTATGATGTTGGGTAGCCTAAGTTGAGCAGCAGAGTATTTGCAAACATGACGGCCTCAAAATATGATACAGATGAATATAAGGAAATAAGTCCTTTAAATAGTGGCAGAGAAGACATGTATGTACTCTTTGTCATTAGAAGCCATCTTAATAAGACAGTTTCATAACTTCTGTTGTTTTTATTCATATTGAGCAGAGCTCTGTATACTTCAGAAATTATTTTGTATGTGATCGAAGTTTAAAGCAACCATATGACCACTAAACATGATTTTTTGCAAATATGTACAACTTGGCAAGGTCAATGTTATGATGAAGCTAGAATTTTGAAATTCAATCTAAGGGACGAGATATTCAAGGTCAATTTGCCACGTAAAATCTATAGGCCAAATGCCAGTTGTAAGCTACGTGTCAATTGAGTTCAACTGTTGTGATGTCTATGACAATTTTTATTTTAAATTTAGATCAGTTTTAAACCTTTTCTTCCCACACTTTTAGTTTTCTATGATGCAGAACTGATTTGTATTCCTAGAAAATACCTAGTTATCATTATTATATCTAAAACAATCACAAAATCTTTCAGTTATTAATTTTGACTATATAAATTTAACTTAACTAAATATTGGGGGGTTAATTTGGTGTTGATTGGCTGTGACAACCCTTTGCTAACCTGTTTTGCATATTTCTTATTTTTGTATTTTTCCAGGTAGGTAATTTTAATTAATTATTTTATTTATTTAATTTTTATTTGTTAGTTTTATTATTTTAAATTTTGTTCATTTTTGTTATCACATCAGGTCATCACAGTTTGTCAGTTTGCTTACCAGTTAATTGTGTATGTTTTGGAATAATATGTACTAGGTATCATGTATGGGATTTTGTATTATGAACATTTCTTTCTTGATCTTGTTGAGCCCCTCTATTGCCTGCTCAACTTCTGGCATGATTTTTTCATGTGCGAGTTTAGGTTGCGGGGTGCATTTAGGCCCATATTTACATGCTTCGTTAATGCATGTTGGAAGTGTGATGCTGTCCCAACAGATAACAGTAGGGTTGACCTGCATTTTACAATGACTTTCTTGGTGCTTTTTAATCCAGTCCATTTTGTTCTTATATCTCTTCCTTAATCTATCTATCTGTAACCTGCATGGCTAAGCTTAAAACTTGGGAGTAGCTTCCTTTAAGACGTGTGGACCAAGCTCATACAGTTCATTTTCTAGTTCAAATTAGCACTTTAAGCAAATAAAATCTTCTGCGCTGTGTGGAGTGGATGGCTTTTCTTAAGCATACTGCTCGTAGTTTATGGATTAGAGAGGCACATCCTTGCGGTAAACATATTCTCCAAATTGACATTGGAAAGACATTGCATTTTCTGCAATCTGTCAGAAACCCAAGCTTTGCATCGTTTCTGCAAATCTCCAAGACTAGGGTTCAGTACCTTTTGACCGGCATTGCCCAATTATAACTCATTGTGGACTGCATATCTTATCAACAAAACACACTCAAAACACCTTGTAAATGTGCAGCCATATTTATTAAATTTGAACATTTTCAGTCATATTTAATGACCTTTATCAAGAATAAACGGAAAAAATCGAACTCTTAGAAAATTTAATCAAGCAAGAAAATAGTAAATTTTGTATTATGTTTTTGTAATTATATTTTCTTGTACTGGATATTTTATTTATGTACTGAAGCTGTATTATGCACAGGATGTTGCGTATATGTTATGATTATTGTATATTATGTTTTGGTTTTGCATGTACAGATTTGGACTTTGTACAGAGATTACCTTTTTACTGTATTATATTTATTGTATTTGTGAGACAATGTTTGTTCAGTATTTCCTTTTTGTGTTCCCTGTACAAAGAGTATTTGTATCTTGCACTAAAATAAATAAAATAAACTTACCTAAATATTGAAGATGAACCCTAATTTGGTGAGTTCTACCAGTCAATGGTTTACCTAAAAGAATCAACATTTATTTTAAAATATTTTCAAATCAAAATTAAAAATCATATTTGGTTGATTCTAATAGTAATAAAATAAATATTACTTTATCTATTACATTAAATTCAAACTTATTATTATTAATGATAACATCAGATCAAATATATCAATAAATATAAGTAGAAGTCTTAAAAACATAATATAAAACTCTTAATTTTTAAGAGTTTTGAATTATTTGCAGTTCATTACACTTATAGTTCATAAATTTGAGTTTGATATTCACATAGGAAAAATAAAAGTTACGTAAACATGGATAAAAATTTTGTTTTGTTGATTAAATAATATATTTCATATATATACATGAAATATTTAATTCCAAATAATCTGCTATATTACCTGGCTATAATGAGACTAACTTAGTCTTTTTTGTAAAAGTTAATTGAAGACAACAGACTGTCCAAAAAATAAAAAAATATAAAAACTTTTTGGTAGACACCATTTATTCACTTCACGTGTTCCAGAACAAAAACTTTTTGACGACTTGACCTTCTTTTTTAGGCTATTTGGCCGTCAAGTTTACAAACATTCCTTTAAAAAACACAGAAAAATACCTAATTAAAATTATAAATTTCAACTTAGAGTTCATGGGTCTTACAGCCATCTTCATGTTTTTCATCCTTTCCATTGGGGATTTTCGGCCTTTATATCTACTGAAGAAATGCACTGGTATATGTAGATTTCTATGGCTTCCCCTGGTGACGAATCTTTGCAAACTTTTAATCTTAAAATTTCGTCAGATGATATTAATTTTGTAAAAGTTAATTGAAGACACAGACTGTCCAAAAAATAAAAATTTATTTTTTGGACAGTCTGTGTCTTCAATTAACTTTTACAAAATTAATATCATCTGACGAAATTTTAAGATTAAAAGTTTGCAAAGATTCGTCACCAGGGGAAGCCATAGAAATCTACATATACCAGTGCATTTCTTCAGTAGATATAAAGGCCGAAAATCCCCAATGGAAAGGATGAAAAACATGAAGATGGCTGTAAGACCCATGAACTCTAAGTTGAAATTTATAATTTTAATTAGGTATTTTTCTGTGTTTTTTAAAGGAATGTTTGTAAACTTGACGGCCAAATAGCCTAAAAAAGAAGGTCAAGTCGTCAAAAAGTTTTTGTTCTGGAACACGTGAAGTGAATAAATGGTGTCTACCAAAAAAGTTTTTTATATATTTTATATTTTGGACTGTCTGTGTCTTCAATTAACTTTTACAAAATTAATATCATCCGACGAAATTTTAAGAATTAACCCTCCTACCACAAGACAGTGTAAGATCGACACGTCTTGTTTCTTTTCCTTTGCACAGGAAACAACTCCAGGGTTGTGGGGCTGTAACCATAAATTAGCCTATCAGGTAGTAGTTTTCAAGACAGCGGCATGGAAAAATAAGTCATCGATCTTCAATTTTTCTCATAATTTAGGTACTATTAGAGCGCACTCTGCTCCGGTGTAGTGTACGACACCCCCTTGTGATATATGTTATATTTTTTCATCATGTAGGAAAAGCCTGAAGAGCTATTTTTTGATTATCTACCGTTGTTTGGCAGATTACTATAGCAGAATATCAACGGTTTACTACGGACGAAGAAATTTGTCAAGAATTGTTATAACAACAGTTCAAGAACTGTAACGGAAAATTCCAATGGTCGTAATAAAAATTCTTCAAAATTTCTGTATGATGAAATCTGAAGATACGTGTTTCTTTCTGTCCGAAGATAAATAAACTGTACTCCTCATATTATCCGTGCATTACACTGGCGAAATTGCCCAAATCACCTGAAAACCTGCCATAGTTGAATTTTATATTGTGATTAAAGGGACATAGATGTTTTTGATAAGTTATATCATGCAAAATCTATCAAAAGAATGACAAATCGCAGTCCTATGCGATACTTCTATAGCATTTTAAATGCAGCAGCAGTAAATACCTATGCAATCTACAAGCTAAATATGCCACAAGAACATAGAAGCAAAAACTGTTGGGCTAAGTTTTTGAAAAAACTTTCTTTTTAATTGGTTACACCACACATAAAAACAGGATGACATGTCCCCACATTAGTAAAACATTGATAGAAGAAATGTGCAACATCCTAGAAATAGAAATGNGAAAAACGACGTAAGTCGAATTTACCTGTCTCCGAATCTACTTATCACTAGGAAAGCATTTTAAATAATATATGGTTAATAAAAATCTATTTTAAGCTTACAAACAAATAAATTTTAGTTTTTAATATAGTACAAAAAAAGTAATCTAAATTTACGAATGCGTGTACTGTAAATACAGTACATACTTGTATATATTTTAATATGATTTTATGTGCTTTAAACGTTTATCTAGTGATATTACGACTTCAATATTTGTGGCGGACAGACGTAAAGTCGAATAAAATGACTTAAACTTGATTTTTATTTTTCCATATACTTTTTTAACAAGCGACGTATAATCGGGAACGACGTAACTCGAAACCGACGTAAGTCGAGGTATGCCTGTATTCTAAATTTACGAATGCGTGTACTGTAAATACAGTACATACTTGTATATATTTTAATATGATTTTATGTGCTTTAAACGCTTTTCTATGGATATTACGACTTCAATATTTGTGGCGGACAGACGTAAAGTCGAATAAAATGACTTAAATTTGATTTTTATTTTTCTATATACTTTTTTGACAAACGACGTATAATCGGGAACGACGTAACTCGAAACGACGTAAGTCGAGGTATGCCTGTAAATGAATTCATTTTTTATTATTTTTATTACTGTTATAATTATTGTTTTAATTGTTTTTTCTTTATTTTACAAACATGTTAACTTTTAATTTAAATAGATGTTTTTATATTTAGATTCTGTTCTTGTTAAAGTTGTTTACACGTTCAAATTTCATCTTTTGTTAGGAATTACTTGTAATGTGACTGTATTTGCACAGAATTAAACAGTTAAATGCTTCTGTGAAAAACCACTTGCAAATATAAGATTATAAAACAGTCTGTAAGATTAATATTTATGTTGATCTTACAGACTGTTTTAGTTATTTTTTAAGCATTTTTTTGAATATTTTTCTATTACTTTTAGAAGATGGAACAATGGAAACAACTCATCAGATTAAAAATATATCTTTGTGGAAAAGGGCTGGCAGAATTACAATTTAATAAAAAGTAAAATACATCTGGATACGAGTCCAATTTTGCTTGCCATGTCCAATCACCAGGAACAACTATTTCCATTCTTCAGAGGCTATGCCTCTGCACAAATATGCAAATGGAAATAGTTGTTCCTGGTCTCTGCAATGGAAATAGTTGTTCCTGATGATTGGGACATGGCAAGCAAAACTGGACTCGTATACAGATGTATTTTACTTTTTATTAAATTAAAAATATAGTTGACTAGACATTTATATTAACATCATAAAAAATATTTCAATAATTGTAAATATTATTAAAAATTAATTTAATATTTTGAAATTATTCAAGTAAAACTAAAAATTTTTATATATAAAAAAAATATATCTAACATAAATATAATGCTCTAAATTACAACTCTCAATTTAGAATTTTTTATTCACAGTAATTTTGTGAATTGTTTAATTCTTTAATTATGCCATTTCTATTGCAGTCAAAATATATAAAAACACACTTAAATTATCAACAAACAAAAGCAATTTTGAACTCATTAGAAAAGTACAATTTTGATGAAACTTTATTAGAATAAAAATATTGACTGTTGAACACAAAGATTGGCTTTTTTCCATCTTTATTCAGTTGATTGTTGAACTGTATATGTTATTTCTCTTTTTTTGATGGAATTCACCATTTCTATAACCAATAACTTGTAGCTGATTTGTTTTCTAATTAATAACGCAATCTTGTGTTCAACAGTCAATAAATAGTAAAACACAGTTTCAGAAAACAAAAAATAAAAATAAAAATAAAAATATATTTTTAAGCCCCTTCTTAAAGAATAAATTACATTGTTTATGATTATGTTTAATATACACACATAATTAGACATTTCAGGATATCTGTACTTTCTATAAAACTTTTTTATATTAAGTTGATTTTTGTTTCTATATTAAAAATATTTAGCTTCAAACACTAGCCTAAAAACAAGTTGATTTACTATCATAATTATGCTTATCAACAATCTAATCATCTAAATATTTTTGCATGTAGTTAGTTAATTTCTTTTAAACAAAAAATACTTTTCTTTTTGTCATTTTTATTTACATTTTTAAATAGTTTAGTTCATTCCAAAAAGTAATAAACTTCATTTCACTTTGATATAAATGAACGAATCCAAATAACTATAATATTACCAAATAGTAAATATTGAAAGAATTTTAAAATGGAATTTATTAAAATAAGTATTGTTTCAAAAATTAAAAAACCATAACTATAACATACAGAAAATTCTGTAATTAACAAATCTGATGTAACCACAATTTTGGACATTTGATCAAGATATAAAAAAATTCTCTTCATAGGGACAAAAAAATGATCAGTTATGACTGACAATCAAAATACATTCATTCACAACTATTATGTTGACACAATGTTTATACTGATACAATATTGTATCCTTAAGTTATGTGTTCTATTTAATCAGCTACCGTGTTTACTTAGATAGAAAGAGGCATATGAGATAGTTAATAAGTTGATGTTATAGTAAAAATGAAAATACTACAAAAATATATGATAATTACGGTGACCATATTTTTTGGAGGAAAATAAAGGACATATCGAAGAAAGAAAATAAAAAAAAAATACCTTATAAAATTCACAAGTTTATATCGCTGTTGACAAACGTTTTCGAGCAATCTCTTTGCTCTTCTTCAGGTCGATTGGAATTTCCTGGACAGAGTGTATTCTATTTGTTGGAATCAGGTGTCATTCAGATGAAGTGGGTCCTTTCTGACATGTGCGGTCGTGCGGTGGAGGAGGAAGTTGCGGG